TGAGAGAGTTATATAACTTGCTGAAGGTCACAGAGCTAGTAAGCAGCTAAAATCAGATCTATCAGACTCCAAAACTTACGATCTTTCCATTTTGTCCTCTATCAAATTAATAATAGGTATAAAGACCACAAGTGGTTAAGACCCAGACAGTCAAGCTGTCTAGTTCCCAGTCCAGCTGTATTCCTTATCTATGTGACCTTGGAGAAGTCACTTAATCCCAGTGAGTCTCAGTTTCCCCATCTACAAGATGAAAAAAATAATAGTACTTTCCTTATACGGGTATTGTGAGTAAAATAATCCATGTAAATAACTTAGCATGGTAAGCACTCAATAAATTTTGGCTATTTTTATTGTCATTTATACCACCTCCTCCTTGTGCCTGCTCTTTGCCAGATGCTCTGCTAAAAATTTTATGTGCATTATCTTTTCAATAGCTCTGCAAGGCAGGTATTAGATCACCATTTGCACATGGGAAACAGGCTCAGAGGGGTTAATTACCTTGCATGAGACCATACAGTTAGTAGATGGCAAAGCCAGGATTTGAACACAAAGTGTGTCTAGCTCCAAAGCCTGTTTGCTTTCTACCGATATAATGACTTTAAATTCCTTTCCTATGTATTATATGGTGACATGGCAATGATGTCAATGTCAGTGATGGTAAGGTCCACGTAGCTGCAGGTGTTGCCTACTGAATAAGCAACAGAACCAGGACTCGGCCTGGGTCTATTTGACTGCAAAGGCCAAACTGCCCCCAACCACTGTCCTTCACAGCTTAAGGGGAAACAGTAGCTTGGTATTTATGGGTCTGCTAATTCTACTTATAGAAAGTTTGAAATTGGAGATCCTTGGAAGGGTTACCCAGAGTTATATTTTTATTTTACAATTTTAGTCCCCAATAGCGTCCAGAAAGCTTACAGTCTTCCATACTTTTATCTGTAAGGCATTCCTAAGTCAGAATCGGTTTGTAAGTTTGGACAGCATTAGCAGGGCACTTGGCACAGAATAAATCTCCTTCTGTTATGTTAATTTGGGCAGTCTCTGTGAAATGATTGTTCCAACCACATGGTAGAACTGCATAAATCCATAGCTCCTAGATTACATGAGCTCCTTCTTCTGTCATTCAGCAGGGACATTTGTACAGCAATTCTTCTCAACAAACTGAAGAAAACTTCATTTGATTCTCTCAAAATCATCTCTTCCAGATGAAATAGGATTGGAATAACCAACAAAATTGGTAATAATTCAGATTCTCATCAGAATTCCAAGTTGAGCTTTTAGCACAGTGGCAAACAAGGCCTGCCTAGAAGGTGGCCAGTCAACAGCCTTCAACCAACTTACACATGTTCAAGTTTCAGAGTTAAATGAACAACAGTAATTTGGGGAATGCTTTCCCAGACTCCTTAATCAAAGTTTGTGTCTTCTGCTCTGATATGGTCTAATTTGCCCTCGCACCTTGGAAAAACGTGCACAATAATAATGATGATAGTCTTGCGTCTGGTACTTTACATTTTGCAGCATGCTCGCTGGCACATTATTGAATTCGATCCTGAGGACAGCCCTGTCAGAGCTCTTCCGAAGCCTGGGCCTGGCTCACAGTGAGACCCAGAGAACTGGCCTTTCGGACTGTAGCTCCGCCCTCGCACCTTGGAAAAACGTGCACAATAATAATGATGATAGTCTTGCGTCTGGTACTTTTCATTTTGCAGCATGCTCGCTGGCACATTATTGAATTCGATCCTGAGAACAGCCCTGTCAGAGCTCTTCAGAAGCCTGGGCCTGGCTCACAGTGAGACCCAGAGAACTGGCCTTTCGGACTGTAGCTCCTGTCCATGGCAAAAATCTCAGCTACTTCTATTATGCTTGAATAACTTCTTTTAGAGAAAAAAGCTGATGAGCGGAGTGAAATTCCCCCTCAGTGTCTTCCCATGTCTCTTCCTACTCTACTGTATATAAATATTGTTTTGGAAGCAATTTTTCACACATCTGCCTAAATCCATGGTGCTTCCTCGCAACTTTGTTTCTCTAGCATTTACTGTAGCTCTTCAAAAAGAGTAAATGCTCACAGTGTTGTTGACAGTCGAAATGCATATTTATTATCTTTGCTCCTGTTGTAGTTGGGCAAGAATCTCATTCTCAATAACATATTAAGAAAAGAGATAAAAAAAATTTGGAGGCCAGAGGTAAAGGGGGTGAGGGGGAATATGAGAACCAGGCCTATCACTAGCTCTGAATTCATTTAAAAATGTTCTTAGCTAGGGATTGCTGGAGGTGCTGTACTTGAGGCCAGAGGAAAAAGAGTGCTAAGAGACACCATTATTGTTGAAATCCACACTTGTGGGTTTGGGGCCACTGGCTTCTGTAGTGAAGACTGCTGGAGAAGAGCTGAATGAATGGCTGCTGCAGCCATGGGGTCCCGTTCTGGTCCCCCTCCTGCTTAGCTGTGTGGCAGGATAGGAGATGTCTCATTGTGCAATGGTCATCCTACTTACTATGCTGAGCTGACCTAGAGTTTAGAGATGAGTTATGCAAAGCAACTAGCATAGTGCCTGGCAGGTACAGACACTCATATATAGGCCATTTTCAAATGCCCTTGATAACAGTGCAGAGTTAGGTCATCACCTAAGAGTGGCCAAGTAAAAAGAGGAGAAAGCTTCTTAGAGGTTGCAGTCATTGGGCTCATCAACAACCATAGCCTCTCTCTTTTTTCATGTTGTAGAAACTCAAAAAGAGACTCTAGACATGTGTAGCACTGGTAAACTTATTTTTAGAGGTTCTAACTGCTCTGGAAGCTAGGAGTTTTTTTGTTGCTTTTACTTTGCCTCCTTCTCTTCTTACTCCCTTACCTCAACTGAACTCAGCTATGTGTACTGATTCAGTTTATCTTCTTGAAAATTTTCAGTCCCTTAGGGAAAATATGATAATGCTGTTTTCAGACAGCTGTGTTGAGGAACGAGACTGACTTAACCAGCTGGCTGGCATCATAGGAGCACAAGGACCTGCCAACTTGTGGAGAACAGCTGTTTGGCCTGAAATTCTTATAGTTCTTATGACTTGCTTTCTATATATCAGCTTTTGAATTCTGCTTTTAAATGCACACACAAAGGGGAAAGGACTGTTGGGAAAGTAAATATAAATGGTCAGGGCCCCTCAGATGTTCAGAATCTTGTGGAGCGTTTGATGTAAATATGCATGTGCGCCCAGGTGTTCCTTGGTTATTGTCTAATGTAATTGCACATGCACCCAGGTGTCCTGGGTTATAGACTTAAGTATAAAGGACAAGTGGCTCTGATTCACAGCGCCCACTACCACCAGGATGCCCCTGGGGGAGCCATGGGGAGGCTGCTACTGCTGATGGAGGCTGTTGCTGCCAGCTGTTGCTGCCAGCGTCCCTGGGACCCTCAGAGGAGGGGACCCTCAGAGGCCGCTGCCGCCGCTGCTGCTGCTGAGGACTGAGCTCGTGTCTTCTGCCAATGGCTCCCAGGACCTTTCCCAATTACCTAGCATGGACCTGTATGTGAGGGGTCTGGTGACCCAGCTGGCATGTGAGGAGTTTGTGACCCAGTCTGTACAGTACACGTTTGCCTCTTTCACTTATCCCCAAAGTGCCTAGTGAACAGTAGATGCTCAAAAGGTCTTTGTTGATTGAATGAGTGTTGTTATTATTGTATGCATTTGAAAAGGAATCTGGAAAAAGCCTATATTATAAGCTGTAACTGTAATTGTGGCAACTTAATCTCTCTGTACCTGTTGCTCAGGGTTGCTGAGAACTGAGTGAGCAACACGTAAAGCACACAGCACAGTAACTGGTGCCTAGGGAGCCGCAGTACGTGGTGGCTGCTGTGATCACAGTGAGCACCGTGTGAGTGCTAGCAATTATAATTATTAAATTGTGCCATACTTTTATCTGTAGAAAGATGAGAGTTATCATGATTTTTGTCTATCATTTTCCTATTTTTTTATCATGGACTTAAAAAAAGAGAGAGAGAAAAGTCCTCCCCCCACCCCCCCGAAAAGCTTATAAAGAAAACCCAAATGCCAACAGTGGTTATCTCTAAATAGTAGACTTGGGAGTGTTTCTGTTTTCTTCTTGAGACTTTTCTACATTTTTCAAATTGTCTGTAGTATATATGTTACTTTTATTATCAAGAGAAAAAAACTGACCACCTTTTCTCCCCTTTTAAATAAGAAAAAAGAAGTTCAGCATCACAGATAACACAGAAGGACAACTGATGAAGATTGGGAATGGTGCCCTGCCCTGGGGTCGCTTTTAGAATGTTATTTAGGGCCGGCCCGGTGGCGCACTCAGTAGAATGCGGCGCTTGGGAGTGTGGCAGCGCTCCCGCCAAGGGTTCGGATCCCATATACAGACTGGTCAGCTCACTGGTGGAGCGCGGTGTGGGCGCAACACCGAGGGGTGCGATCCCGTTTCCGGTCGCGGTACAGGCGCGACACTGAGGGTTGCGATCCCGTTACCGGTCACGAAAAAAGACCAAAAAAAGGGGGGAAAAAAAAAAAAAGAATGTTATTTAAATACATGTTTCACAGTCTAAGATAGTTATGAGGCAGATGCTAAGAACTGGAAGATAGAACCAATGAAGAAAGGTAAAGGAATTTTGATTCATTGGTTCTGGTCAAAGGTACTCAAAATTTGAAGTATTGTTAACAGACAAAGGTGTAATATGTGGTGGCTACCAATGGTGTCTGTTGAGCACAGCTGCTTTCCGTCTCTCCTGGAGAGAACAACAAAAAGATGATTAGTGGAAATAACAGCAGGAGAGTTTAGAAATGGAAATGAATGGCTACCAATGTCAGGGATAAACTTTCAGGGAGAATGTTTAAATGTTTAAAATAAAATCTTGAGCAGATGTTGCTGGTCTTCTTAGATTTTTTTTCTGGCTGATTCTAAGGCACCACCAAGCTTTCAGGTATACTGGTTCAGGCCTGTGCTTTCTTCCCAATTAACAGACATGTGTGACCTTTTTGTGAAACTTCACTTGCAGATATTTAACACCGTACCTGATATGCCTCTGACCAATGCCCAGCTGCACCTGTCTCGGAAGAAGAGCAGTGACTCCAAGCCCCCATCCTGCAGCGAGAGGCCCCTGACGCTCTTCCACACTGTACAGTCAACAGAGAAACGTGAGTCCCTACACTCAGGTCCAGTGTGGTTTCAAGGACATCCCAAGCTGCCTCACACTGCTTGAAGTGGACACCTCCAGCCTCTCTCTGTATGCTGTAGAGAAACGTGAGTCCCTACACTCAGGTCCAGTGTGGTTTCAAGGACATCCCAAGCTGCCTCGCACTGCTTGAAGTGGACACCTCCAGCCTCTCTCTGTATGCTGCTGTCCTTTTGTGTCCTTGAAGACTGTGTGTCATTGTGCCCTTCCAGGTTCCTTTGCTGAGTAACCCTGATAGGACAGGAAGCAGTATTGCTGAGAATGAAAGGCAAGGGCGGCCGTGGAAGATTCTCTTTCTAGATCTCCCATGGGCAAACAGCTGATCCTGTTTTCCTCCTACTACACAGTAAGAGCTCAGCTCAAGCATCGCTTCTTTGGCCTCTCTTTTGTTAGCTGCTCCCACAGAACCAGTCCCCTTTCCTTTTCTCAGTTTGTAATTGAATGCTTATTAGTGTGAGTCACATGTCCTGCTAGAATGTGACTCTACAAGGGCGGGACCTAGTTCTGCTGCCCTTTTATTCCACCTCTCACAGAGCCTGGCGTGGGGTCGACACTTAAAAATATTTGAAATTCATTAATGAATGAGTTAGAGAATAATACTCTCCTTGTTCCAGATAGCAGTGTTATCACTACAGTTGTATCAAATCTTTTCATCGCAGGATTTCTGAGTTCTTTGAAGTAATCAGGTGCTGGGCCCTAAAATACAGTCTTGTTTCAGCTGTTATAGTAACAGAGTTGTGTAGTGTAGTGTAGGAATCGAGGCCTCAAGCTCTGCGAGGAGTCAGTCTGATGTGGGTTCTTGTGCCAGCACCACCACATGGGCAAGCCTGTTATTCTCCTCAGTTTGCTCATCTGTAAAATAGGGATAATAGTGCCCACCTCATAGGGAAGCTGTGAGGATTAAATTAAATTATGCATTTCAGCATCTCGCACAAGGCTTGGAGCATGGCAAGGGCTAATAACAGAGCTACTGCTACCATAATTAGTTACTGTTTAGTCACACGCAGATACCAAGACTGGCTCATTCATACAGCTGACAGTTACACAAGGCGTGCCAGGGACCGGGAATCTAAAAATGAGACCTTGTCTTTAAGGAGCTCAAAACTGAGTGAGGGAAGTAAACAAGGGAATACGAAATGGCAAGTCAGCAGGATACCTGCTCTCATAGAGATATGTACAGTAAGAGAGGTGGTAGAACGTAATGGCTAAAAGCACGCATTCCAGCACCAGGTTGCCTGGGTGTGATTTCTGCCTCTGCTGCTCACCAGCTGTGTGTGACTTGGGAAGTTAGGCAACATCTCATGGCCTTAGTCGCCTCTTCTAGAAAATGGGGGATAATGATTCCTACTTCATAGGGTTGTTGTGAAGATTAAAGCACTTCACACAAGGCCAGAGGCAGAGCAAGAGCTCTGTAAATGCTGGGGCGTGGGGGTAGGTACTGTTATCATCTTCATTATTGTTATTGCTAATCTGTAAGAGCTACAGTAAAGGTACAGAGCAGGACGGTGACCTTCTTTGCCTTGAAGAGGAAAGCTTCCAGGGCCGGCCCGTGGCTCACTTGGGAGAGTGCGGTGCTGATAACACCAAGGTCACGGGTTTGGATCCCATATAGGGATGGCCGGTGGTGCTGACAACACTAGGTCAAGGGTTAAGATCCCCTTACCGGTCATCTTTTTAAAAAAAAAAAAAAAGAAAGCTTCCATATCCGGATTGGAATCTGTCTCCTTCTTTGTCACAAAAATGTGTTTTTTTTTTAATCCCCTTGTATTTCAAAAGTAATGGCCTGCCTTATTGTAATTCCCGAAAAAAAACCTTCCACGCCCCCAAAACATAACTGCATTTAAGCTTTTCATCCCATTGTATGTCTGCACCTTGATGTACAATATTTAGGACCATTTGGGTTGTTTCAGATACTTTGCTTTTATAAATCGAGCTACTGTTAACATCCTTGTAGCTAAATCTCCTTTTTATGACCATTCCCTTAACATAAATTCTTAAAAGAATTTTTAGGTCATTGAATATGCACAGTTTCAGGGCTTTGACATCGTAGTAGAATTGGCTTTCCTTCCTCTTAAATACCTGGCCAGGTCATTCTCACAAGGGTATGTGTGTGGCCTGGGCCCCTCCAAGTGTACCAGGGAATACTTGGAACAGGACTGGCCTCACCCACATCTGCCAAATGAACAAGGGATCAGGCTACAGGGTGATGTGCTTCTCAGGTTTCCAGGAGAGCCACGGTCACTTAATATTTTGTACTAAGCCATGTGTGGTACAGATCAGGACAAGCCAGACAGTATTGGTAAATCCCCTAAGCTTAAAATAGTGTGGGGTTTGTGGTTAGACTGAAGCCAGAAGCAGGTTTGGAACAGGTCTTACAGCATATCCTGAGAGCATGTTAGAAAGAACATGGAGATGAGGAGAAAATCAATTAGATCTTTGCCCAAGATTAATTTTATCACACGAGGCAGAGGATGAAAGTTAAGGACGTGTAAAAGCAGAGCTGCCTAAGCTGCAGAACAGGCTGCTGTGTCCCTGTCTGCAGGCGGCAGACAGAGGATGCAAAGCAGGAAGACAGTGAAGCAGTGGAGCTCTCCTCTGAATGTCAGGAAACGCATCCCAGAAGCAGGGCTGCAGCGTACGGGTGTGCTCAGATGTTGGGGGTAGTGCTTAGCTTTCCCCGCTTTCCCAGAGAGTAAACATTTTAACTGAAAAGTCTGTGTATGTATTTAATTGAGAAGTGTGTGTGTATGTGTTTGTGTGCATGTATATACACATTCACACCCATATTAAAATAAATATGTAATCATTAAAAAATGTTCATTTGCATCCCACCTTGGAGGGATCTTGTGTACCACCTGTTGTGTGCATGTATATACACATTCACACCCATATTAAAATAAATATGTAATCATTAAAAAATATTCATTTGCATCCCACCTTGGAGGGATCTTGTGTACCACCTCTGGAATGTCTCCACAGTTTGCAGTCCACAAACCTGGCTCTTAATTTTGACTGACTCTGGTCCTTCCTCTTAATTTAAATGTACAAACTCAAGTTTCTTTTGTCTGCTTGGCTAGAATTGGGTTCATATATTGTCAGTTGGCTATTTATGTTGCTGTGGACACATACCGTTCATCTATTAATCTCATGCTGTACACTTTTGGTTCATTGTGACACTTGTCTCGGTTTGATGTAACCTTATCTTTCTTCAGGTTCTTGCTACAGAGCAGACACCCTGTTGGTGCGGTTGTGCTGTGTGAGCACACACACACACACACACACACACATAGGCACATGCACACACACCTCTCCTTTACTTTCAAATTTGCCATATGATATATATATTTTTTTATTTTTTTATTTTTTTTTCGTTAAATTTTTATTTTGTCAATATACAATGTGTATGATTACTATGGACCATCACCGACACCTCCCTCCCTCCTCCCTCTCTCCCCCCCCCCCCCACAATCTCCTTTCCGCTTGCTTGTTGTAACACACTTCCAAAAGGGATAGTTGTTATATC